GGGGAAGAAAGCGCAGAAGGTGAAGTTCCCCATGTTCTTGTGTGGTCGGTGTGGTAGGCCGAATCATATGTCTGATGTGTGCAAGGCGACTGTTCATGCTAATGGCCAAGCTTTGCCAGGCTCGGGAAACGGCAAGCGGAGCGCGCAGGGGGGACGCGTGCGGACACAAGCTTCTCTCCAGACCCCGGTGCCGATGGAGGTCTCCTTTGCCAGCTTGCAGCCAGCACCCGTGGATCAGCAGGAGTGGATGTCTGCACCGCAGCAACAGTTGTGTTAGAGTCTTCTCAGATATGCAAGGTTCCCCTGGATGCCTTTGGTCCCTTGGGTGGGGGCATGAGTGCTCTCCTTATGGGGAGGTCTAGTGCCACCCTTCAGGGCATCATTGTGCACCTGGGACTCATCGATGCGGATTTCACGGGGCAGATTTGTGCCATGGTCTCCACACCCACCCCCCCCCGTGACGATCCCGAAAGGGACGCGGCTTGCTCAACTTGTGCCTTTCAAGTCCTCTGTTTGCAGGTCAGCTGATCAGTCGCGTGGAGCTGGCGGTTTTGGCTCCACTGGGCCGCCTCAAGTTCACTGGACTGCTGTCCTGACCAAGGACCGTCCCGAGATGCTGTGCACCCTGTCTGTTCCTGGTGCGACGCCGCCAGAAGTCCGCGTCCGTGGGCTTCTCGACAGCGGTGCTGACGTCATGGTTCTCTCCCTTGTGACCTGGCCCTCAGAGTGGCCCTTGGATCCGGTGGGGACATCTGTCGCTGGCCTGGGAGGGACGGCGCAATGTTATGTGAGCCAACGGCCTGTGTTGGTCACGAACCCAGAGGGACAGGTGGCCTGGGTTAGGCCTCATGTTACTTCTACTCCTGCCAACCTTTGGGGGAGGGATGTTCTGTCTGCTTGGGGGGTGCGCATTGGGACGGATTTTTGATGGGGGCCGCTGCAGTGAAGGGTGCAGAGTGTCCGACGCCTCCTATACGGTGGCTGGTTGACAAACCTGTATGGGAAAAGCAGTGGCCCCTCCCTCAAGAGAAGTTGAATGCCCTTCGGAATCTGGTGCAGGAGCAGTTGGACCAGAGTCATCTGGAGCCTTCCACCAGCCCCTGGAACACCCCTGTCTTCTGCATCAAAAAGAAGTCTGGGAAATGGAGGTTGTTGCAAGACCTCCGAAAGGTTAATGCTGTGATGGAAAGCATGGGAACATTGCAGGCGGGCATGCCATCGCCTACAGACTGGCCGGTCCTCATTGTGGATCTGAAGGATTGTTTCTTTACAATTCCTTTGCATCCCGATGACAGACCGAAGTTTGCCTTCTCAGTGCCAGCAATTAACGAGGCTGAGCCTGCACAGAGGTATCAATGGAGGACATTGCCTCAGGGCATGCGCAATTCTCCGGCCATATGCCAGTGGTATGTGGCCCGTGCCTTGTCTGGAGTTCGCAGGCAGTTTCCTGATGCACGTCTGTATCATTATATGGACGACATTTTGGTGGCCGCATCCACCCAGGATGAGCTGCTGAGGATTCAGCCTCGGTTGCTTGATGCTTTGCATGCTCAGGGACTGCAGGTGGCTCCGGAGAAGGTCCAACAGCAACCACCTTGGAAGTATTTGGGGGTCAAAATTCTGGAACGGACGATCCGTCACCAGGAGGTGCAATTTGTGCATCCTGTGAGGACACTGAATGATGTTCAGAAATTGGTGGGTGTCATCACTTGGTTGCGTCCGTATTTGGGAGTAACCGATGCGCAGCTGTCTCCTCTGTATGATTTGTTGAAAGGAGACGCTGATCTAAAATCACCTCGCACACTGACCCCTGAGGCGCATAAGGCGTTGGAGGTAGTTCAGCGAGCTGTTTCGGCTTGCCAAATTTATCGCATTGATCCCTCCGTTGATGTCACTGTGTTCGTCAACACTCCGGATTCGTATCCCACAGGTATCATTGGCCAGTGGAGTGACAATTGGTCTGATTCCTTGCACATTTTGGAATGGGTTTTCCTGCCCCATCAGCCGCAGAAGACGGCAACTGCATTGTTTGAATTGATCGCTCGCTTGATAATCAAATGCCGGCAACGGTGTTTGCAATTGATGGGTGCGGATCCCGCAAAGATCATACTCCCGGTGCAACGGGAGGATTTTGACTGGAGCTTTGCAAACAGTGTGTCCCTGCAGAGTGCTCTGGAAAATTTCTCCGGGCAGATCACTTATCATCTGCCCAGCCATAGGCTACTGCATATGGCAAAATCCACAAAAATCTCTTTGCGGCCCAAAAATAGCCAGGAACCCGTGAAAGGACCCACTGTCTTCACTGATGGTTCAGGGAGGACTGGGAAGGCCATTTTTAGCTGGAGGGACGGATCTGAGTGGCAGGTTCTGGAAGGCCACGAGGATGGGTCAGCCCAGTTGGTTGAACTGAGGGCTGCTGTCATGGCATTTGAAAGATTCTCCCAGGAGCCTTTCAACTTGGTCACGGATTCCGCCTATGTGGCTGATATCGCACAGCGGTTGGGTCATTTGGTCTTGAAGGAGGTCAGTAATCCTTCCTTGTTTCACTTACTGAAGACCTTGTGGTGTGCCATTCAGGCCCGGGTTCATCCATTCTATGTTCTGCATGTGAGGAGTCACACCACTTTGCCGGGCTTTATAGTGGAAGGTAACGCGAGGGCTGACAAGCTGGCTAACCCAGCATGGGTAGCGCCTCAGCCTGATACACTCGCGCAGGCCAAGGCATCACGTGGGTTTTTCCACCAAAACGCACATACCCTGCAGAAGCAGTTTCAGCTGACGCCAACTGAGGCTCGTGACATTGTTGAGTCATGTGATGACTGCCATGCACTTGCCCCGCCTTTGCCGGCAGGGGTGAACCCCAGAGGCCTTAGGGCCTTGGAGCTTTGGCAGACCAATGTCACCCTGGTTGCCGAGTTTGGCCGGCTCAAGTATGTGCATGTCACTGTGGACACGTTCTCCTCTGCGATGTGGGCTTCGGCTCACACTGGGGAGAAGGCCCGCGATGTCCTTGCCCACTGGAGGCAGGCCTTTGCCGTTTTGGGCATACCTTCTGCGGTGAAAACCGACAATGGTCCTGCTTACGCATCGCAAAAGGTGCGGCAGTTCCTGCAGTTGTGGGGTGTTTCGCACAAGTTCGGGATCCCTCATTCCCCGACTGGTCAAGCTATTGTAGAACGCGCTCATGGTACTCTGAAGCGGGTTCTTCAAAAACAAAAACGGGGAATGCAGGGTGAAACCCCGCACAGTCGGTTGGCAAAAGCTTTGTACACAATCAATCATCTCACTGTGCCACAGAACTCAAATAATCCTGTCATTTTGAATCACCATCTCTCGTTGCAGGCTGCGGACGAGGCACATCAGCCTCGAGCGAAGGTTCGGGTGCGGAATTTAGTCACCAAACAGTGGGAAGGTCCCTATGACCTTATCGCTTTGGGGCGCGGGTATGCTTGTGTATCCACAGATACTGGGGTACGCTGGGTACCTTCGAAATGTGTTCGCCCTGACCTGCGACCGCAGAGGCAGAATCCAGCCGATGAGCAAGACGGAGACCGTGACCAACCTGAAAGGGATCAAGCGGGCGGATCATTGAGTGATGACTCAGATGCAGATGACGGGAGTGATCGCTCTGATGATTCGTCCGCAAGTGGACACTGAGCATTGTTCATGTTTTTCCTTTTTACATTGTTCATTTTCTTTTCTTTTTCTTTTTAAATGGAAAAAGGGTGAGATGTCACCCTGAGTTTTTAAGATTTTCTAAGCCTTCTGATGTTGACATTCTTGTAGTGAATTTTCTCACACACTTTCTGTAAATAACTCATTGTTTTGCATTCCTTTATGGAGGAGGAGAGAGTTGATGGACTGTTGGTTTAACCAGTGGTATTGGAGAGGTGCCACTGTCACCCTCCAATCCACTGTCACTTTTGGAAAACTATAAATGTTGGAGTCAGAAAATAAATGGCCTTTTTTTTCTCTTTCACCTTGAGAACGGTGTGAGCGTGTGTTCTTTTGTGTCCTATAGCGACACACAAAGGTGTTCCATATACATTACATTGCTCAACCTTTTCATGCATATTCAACCCCCGGCCCCACCTGTCTTCGCCTTGCATGGTAATTAGATCCACACCTTTCTGGGCATGCGTTGTTCATGGTGGTGATCTCTGAAGCTGAAGGCCATGGTCTTCCTCATGGTTGAACTTTTGAACTTTTCTTCTTTGCACGTGCACTTTGGTCTCTTGGTGCTTATCTGAGTACATCTGTTGATTTTGATCAGCTTGCAGACAGAGGAGCCCCTTTATCTGGGTTTCTCGTATTCCTTGGTCTTCTCCCAGTATTGTTCTTTATTGCAAGAAGCTTCAGAAATTTGCATTTTCCAATGCCCTTTGTACCATGGCAGAAGTTTCTTAAGTAAAAGGTTAAAATTCAACACACAATTCTACAAGCTAAAATTTAAATGCTTAATTCATATTGCTAACTTCAGTGAACCCCCAAAACCTCAATATCAAGCTCTTGCACCTTATGAAAAAAATGTCTTTTTAATATCTCCCAGCTCTCATTTGCTCCTTTACTTCTGAGAACAGTTTCCCAAGGGATCACATACACTAGCACTGAAAGTTTGCCTTTCTGAGGTTTAGGGTCCTGATTCTGCTTTTTACCTCTTCTGTACCCCTCAAGACTGAGAATTCTACCTGTGCATGATCAAAGATATTGTGACAATTTCTGTCAATAGCATATCTACCCTGTTACACCTAGATTTAGCTTGCTATATTCCAAGACATAGCAGGTACTCTGCAGGATCAGATCACTGTTTTATTAATGTATGGTTCTCCCTTTTGGATTCTAGGTTACTGTGCAGACACAAGGGGCTTTTACACATTGAGATGACTCACTATCTTGTAAATTTATATTTGTTTAAATTATATTGCAGTTCAAGAATAGAAGTAAAATACTGTATAACTGGAATTGGGGTATATTTCACTGAAAGATTGTTTCCTTTGTAGATTGATGAGCACAGGATATGTGTTTGTGTACGAAAACGACCACTCAATAAAAAAGGTATGTCCATTTAAGATTTTGCAGAATTTTTTCTCTGAAAAGCTGCTTCTGATAGAGTAATATTATTTATATTAAAGAGATCTAAAAATACCGATCAAAGGCAAAACTCTGTTATACTGGACAATATGTGTGAGGTACCCAGAAAATTTATAAACTTATCATAATCTGAATAAAGATGGGGAAAAAAGTAGTTAAACTGTCACCATTTTACGGAGTGTAATTTTTTCCCAAGGTCATCTAGGATGCATTTTGTTGATCTGGGAATTAATTCTACTGTAATTTCTTCAGTATTTTTATGTTGTGTTTGTATCACCATTCTTTTAAAGCATCTTGAAGTGATCTTCTGATCAGTGAGCTACTCAATGAAAACTTTCCTACACTTTTTTGTTATAGGTGTATATTTGTACTTTCAAGTCATGAATCTGACATGAAGGGTACAATTCAGGTGCCTGAATGTTGGTGTCTTCTGACATTTAAGGTGTTCAAGGGTGTCCAAGATATCCTTGCAGGGCTAGCAGGTTATAGACAAACTGGAGACATGTACCTCCTGGAATTGCTGCTCAGGGCTGGGCAGGATACCTTAGGGCATATGAAATGGCACTAAACAATTATTTTTAGGTACTGGAAGCACACCTTAGTGACTTGTCTTCATGTATGATTTGCTTGACAACTTTCTTTCTTACTGCCTGGTGATCAGACTGGAGTCTATATCCCCCACCAAAAAAAACATTTAGGTTTTCAACTCGAGTCAAATACCAATCTTTCTATTAAGTTCTTTACTTTTATGAGAAATTAAGAACTGCAAATGCATCTGGATCAAAGCCTGTATGAATCCAACACTAAAGTAAGCTGATTTTCATTTTGAAAGATGTTTCTTTCCTTCTCTTTATTTTTTTTTTTTAGCTTGACTCAAAGAACATCACTTTGACTCTGAAACAACATGGGATGCATTTATTATTTTTGTACTGTCAACTACACATTGAGAGTTATCTGGAGGATATCCAGAGGAACATGGGAGAATTGTATAGGAAAGGGAAAACATATATTGATGTTAGTATATAGTTAGTTTTATTTTGTCTTATTTTTTCCCCTCCATGTTGCTGCTTCCCCTCCTTTTTTTTGTTTATTACTTTTACTGTTTTCTTATTCCCTGTATTTTTTAATTGATCTGAAAGGAATGCATAATCTCAAAAACTGATTGATTGAAACTATTTTTCACAACATATGTCATAGGGGCATTCAATATACAAGTCTGGTAACAGTTCAATTTCTGTTTTATCATTGGAGGTTATCTTTAATAAAATATAACTTAGAAATGTGATCCATGGGGGGAATGTTACCTTCAACTTGCACTGAAGGTGGAGACAGTGAAAATACAATAACTTACAGCAAATTGGTATGAGGCATAAATTAAGTTTCAGAAGTGGGACTTGATTCTGTGCAAATATCTTGGATATTAGTGGTTTGGAGCTATTAAGAATAGTTCTGAGTTGTTGGTAGGAAGATGAGTGTCTAAGTAAAAATGAGATTTGCACTAAAGTTATTTTGCATTTTTAAGAATAAGCTATAATAAAAAGGTATTAATGAAATAATATATACTGGGGAGGAACCATAATCTTGTACTCACATAATGCAGTATTCTGGGAACATTAATTTTGAAAGTTCATAAGAAACAATATTTCTCTTGCTACATTTTAAAATTATATCAAGAAATAGAAGATGTTAGTGTGTAATATCCTAAAGAGAAACATATAAATAATTTTTCCTTTATTATTGCAATAAAATGTCAAAAATATTCTCATTCCCCTTTCATGTTCTGTATTTTGAAATGCTGTAAGATGTTCAAATAATTTGCGAGAAATCAAGTGTATCAATCAATTTCAGGTAGTCTCACAAACACAGAAGTATCACCAAAATCTTTAGGTGTTCTCAGCACCAGTCATTTTGTGGATTGACTTTGCAGGACGAAGGTCTTCAGACTGACATTTTAAGATTTTATTTCAGTGACAAATATTTAAAACAATTGTTTTAAACAAAACATCTTTTGACTGCTTTGACTAAAGTTTTTTCTGAAAAAAATTACCTTTATATAGATCTTTTCACCATTATTCCTTATTTATTCTCTTTGATTGCTTCAGAATAATTGCATTTTACTTTATTGCAGTGCAGTTGAAAAATAGAATATATAGTGACTTGAATGCATATTTCTGTTGGTGTGTAATGTCATGCAATAGTAACCTTTGTGCTGTTTGAATGGCATTTTAACTGATGAAAATATGTCTACCTGATTGTATAGAGTTACATCAAATTCTTGAACTGCATGCCTTAAGAAATTTAACATAGAAATGCAAGTAGGACACATCAGTGATCCTGACTGTACACAGAAAGGATCATTATTTTTGTGCATCTCGTGGATCCCTGGGTTCTCTGTTTTGCTGTCATATATCATACAACAATTAGCAATAAATCGCAGTGCTATTTAGCAATTATAACCTGAGAACTCACTACTAAAATTGCATCTAGATGGCTTTTGTTCATTCCTAGTGATAAGAAACATCTTTAGCATGTTCAGCCTTTTCTGCTTACAAGATAATTTAAAGAAAGCATTTTACTTTAGAGAAATTCTATATTAAAGACTTGAGATTCCAGAAGGAATACAAAAATGAAACTATGTAGAAGGAAAACAATTTTCTTTCTTTTTAAAAGCTGTGAAGATATGTCTATTACTTAAAAGATTTAGGAAAAATAAAAAAATTTTTTAAATGAAGCTATAATGACAGTGCTATCATTAATTATCTTAGTTTTTCTAATCAACTTTGTACAACCTTTCTTTACCTTCTAGCACCTGGTAAGAGAGGACAACTAGACTTCAAAAATGAAATCTCTTACTTAGCAGATTACTATCTAGGTATCAGAAGCCCAAGTCCATTGCAGTGTTGTGGCTTGGAGGAGCTGTGTTATCTGAGATATTATAAGAGTGTAAACAATGAAAATATGTAAAAAATAGTGATGTGTTGCTACTTAAATATGTGAAAGATGCATATTATATGATTATCTCTTCGCAAATATTGAAATGAGTACTATATGTGTTATGTTGGAAAGTTATACTGTATTAATTTTAGTAGTGCCATATTAATCTTTTTAAGTAGTGTGGCAAATATAGTTTTTAGGCTATAGCATAATATCAAAATAGAAACTACGTGATGTAAGATACTTTTTGTAACTAGCTCAAGGAATGGATAAGATAACCAAGAAATTCTTTGCATAAAGATAACAGCAACAAGACACCAAAATCTCAAGAGAAGAATTATTGCCTCCTTATCAGACTTCTTCCAGCCTTCTAGGAGCCAAGAAATTGATTTACAAGATGAGGGGGGGAGCAGAAATTAAGCAGAAGACACCCTTTGTTTGAAAAATGTTTGAATCATGTATGAGATGTATGAATATGCAACAGGCTATTGCTTTTAAGGGTTAATCCTTTGTTAGTGTGTGTGCTTTTTTGGCTTAGTGCCCAAGAGCATCTGGACAGCCGTAATTCTTTGTTTTTTATTGTCTCTTATTGTCCTAACTTTGATTGTCCAAATTCTTATTGTCTTAATTTTTATTACTATTTTATTACTATTGAACTTCTAAAATTTTAACACAAGTGATTGGCGTTTTTCACAAATATATATATTTCATTTATTTTATAGAAACTTTAATGAAAGACCTTGATGTAATAACAATTCCTAGTAAAGATGTTGTGATGGTACATGAACCAAAACAAAAGGTGGATTTAACAAGGTACCTAGAAAACCAAACTTTTCGTTTTGATTATGCCTTTGATGACATGGCTCCTAATGAAATGGTTTACAGGTATGTGTATATGGGGGTTTTTGGGAATCTTTTTTCTCATATATCTTTGATGTCAATAACTGTGGGTTTACCTTGGTCATGGACTTGTATTCTCTCTGTTATCAGATATGTATGTTGCTAACTCCATTCTTTTGCCTGTTTACTTTTGGTTTAGCTCTGTTTATCCTGAATCCTGCTCTCAGTTATCCTCCAAGAGTTTTCCAGGCTCTAGTGTGTATTGCTTCCTCAGGAGACAAACAAATCAGGAGAGGGTGGGGAAAGAGCACAGAGAGAGAGACACCATGGTATTTGGATCTTCATTTTTGCCTTTCTTTTTCTGTTTCACTTCCACAGCTGAAAGAGAATAATGCACAACACTTTAAAAATTTGTTAAAAAGTATCTGTTTACCTTGTCCAAGTTGCTTAATGGATTAGATACAGGCAAGGTTAGACACCACAGGTCATAATCTCGGTATGTAGTCTAAATATTGTGAATATTTTTGCAAAGAATATTGATATTAGAAAGGAATTTGATTAAGATAATTTTCCTTATGCTTAGAAAGTGCCTCCCATAGTCTTAAGGAATAGGGACAGAGAATTTTCTTAAATCTTGGTTTTAATCCAACAATTAGGAAGTCAAAGTTGGCATCGTATCCTGACTGATGTTAGATGTTAACATCCTGTTGGTGGATAAGAGATTTATTAAAAGGCCTTGAAAATGAAAACTTGTGTCTCAAGTTTGATAGAAGTAAAAGGAGAAGCGTAGCAAAAGTAAAAACTTTTTAGTCTGTTAGTTTACACTAATGCAATACTTCTAAACAACAAAGCTGTGCCCTTGAAAATGTGTCTCTAATGATTGTCTACTACTGGTAACATATTTTCTTTCTAGATAGTAAAGAGCTGTTAGAGAGTGATCTAGCTGGTGAGGTGTGCCTGGGTCACACGGAGATAACATCTTCACATAGAGGAGCAGTTGAGCTTTGGCCTTTCCCAGACATCTGTTGTCTTGGCACTGCTTGAACTTCTCCTGGCTTTTAGCTGAGAGGTCACTTCCTGGCTCTCCCTGCCCACTTATTGGGTAGACAGTCAGTATCCCTTAGGATTTTCCAACACAAGAGGGGGAGGAAAGTGACTCAGATTCAAAAATACTTGGCTAGAGATGCAGTGAAACAACACTGGAGGTTGGAGGAGAGAGAGAGCGCCTTTACCTGATAACTTATTAACCCATTAGCAGGCCATCATGCCCATGGAAATCCCTTGGACACATATCTCATGGCACATGTCATGGAACACCTGTCTGTTTCCAGTTGTTTCATTATAAGTGTTTGAGACATTTCTCAGAAGGGCTCAAAGGGGCCTACACCCCATGTCCTCCCTTTGTCTCAAGTTTTGCTTTTCTGTCTAGCCTTTTCCTTACAGCCTCTTGCAATAGTTTTCCTCCCCCTTAACAACCAGTTCCTGTAATCTCCCTCCTTCATGTTGTCTTTGTGAGCATAGTGTTTAAATGTGAGGGATGTTTTTGACATACAATGTTATTATGTTTTTGTACCGAGTTTCTTCAGCAAAATTTTTATTACTTGCATAATAAATTAATAGTAATATGGGAGAATATTGAAAGATGCTTGTATTCATACTGAAACAATAAACCTCTAGTCTGTATAGCAGTACAGGCTTTTTTTTTCTCCTTCATATGGCACAATAATGATTATCACATGAAGGATAATCTACTTTAAGGCCTCCTGTAGTAACACAATTGCGAAGAAGATAGGTATCATGTTCTGCTCTAACCAGAACTGCCAGGGTCACAATGGGGAAAAAAAAGTATGACAAGTTACTTCAGTTTCCTTAAATATGCTAAAATTTCTCCTATTTCTATACTGAAAAATGTTCTCAAGAAATGTACTACTCTTTATTTTCTTATTATTACTTTACTTAGGCTGTATTTTAAGTATTTTCAAATCCATGAGCTGCAACACTGAGTTGCAAGGTTTTTTAGTATTAAAAAACTTTAAATGCCTTTTGAATTTTAAAGGAGAATCAGAGTTTATATTTCTGAAGGCTCAAGATTGCAAATAAAGGTTCTACTAGAAGGAGAGTTTGACTTTTTTGACATGGTACCATTTGGAGTTGTATAATGCTCTACAAAAATTTTCTAGACGTTTGTATTTTGCCTTATTTTAAAATGCATATAATTAAGTCAATTTTTTATAAATCAGCAAAATGAATAATTTCAAATGCAATTAAGCAGAGATAATGGAATGTGCTTCTTAAGTGGATAGGTTTCCTGAAACTGATTGGTAATATCCTCTTGAGGACAAAAAAAAAAAGGTATATACTTGGAGGATGCAAAAAAGAAAGACTAAGACTGATCAGGAATCATCTGGTATATTTTTGATGAAAACTGATGATTCGGTTAAACATAGATTTTTGCATAATCCTCGTTTGCTGAATGGCTTAATCTTACCCATATTATTTTTGTAAGTGACATGTTTGTTCCAAAATGGAATGAAAGGAGGTTGTAACACCTCAGTGTTTCAGTTAACAATCATTCTTGTTTCTGTCACTAAACATACTTTATTTGTAAACACCTGGAAAAAGTTTAGAAAGAGTGACTCTTGCCTCCATCACTTGGTGGAGGTAACCACCATAAGGTTACCTTTTGCTTTTGGAGATTTTAATGAAGAAATGGTAGTAAGCAGATGAATTGGGAGCAATAGCTACATTTATTTAAGTAAAAATTAATTATTTAAAATAGAAAAATTATATTTTGGAAAATATTTTTGACGCATCAAATAATGCTTAAGGGATTACTGGATTTTTCCATTCTGATGAGCCTGGGTAGACATTTTATTGAGCCTTGTCTCAGTGTAACTATGTTCTCAAAATATTAAGACATGCAATGTGTTTTTGACCACTTGTCTTCTGAACTTAATATTGGAAGCTAATTTAGGGAGCAAAAACTATAGTGGATTTTTTGTATTGGCAAAATCTGAGCATTTAACTGCTGCACTGTCCTACTTCTGCATCTTATAATGGTGCCTTCTTTAGGGAGCTCCAAACTCCATGTAGCAAACTGTGCCATGTTGCAACACTAAAACAAGAAAATTCTTTTTCTTGGGGTTTGAAGAAAAATAAAATTTTTGCAAAATAAATGGGAAACATCTTGTAGCTTTTCTCTAATTGTTTAGTATATTTGAATGCCCTAGAGATGGTAGCCTCTTTAGTTCAGGAATTAATGAGATGTCCTTTGGCCTCTCAAAGTTCAGAACCAGCTTTGTCACTTCTGGCATTAAAATTTATAGTGCCTTTGTGGTAGTGTGGGTTTTAAAAAGTAATTAAATTTCTAAAATACTTTTGTTTTTTACATTTAAGGTTTACAGCTCGACCATTAGTAGAGACCATATTTGAAAGGGGAATGGCCACTTGCTTTGCATATGGACAAACAGGCAGTGGAAAAACCCATGTAAGTATTTCCTCTACGTGTCAGCAATACACTTCTTTTTGTGTATTTTACGCTTCAATAAATTCTAATAAGTAACAAATATGTAAGTTACAGTTCTGTGATCTTTATTGTGTATTTTTGGTCTTTTGTTTTTTAATTTAGACTATGGGTGGTGACTTTTCAGCAAAGAACCAAGATTGTTCTAAAGGAATATATGCACTTGCAGGTGAAACTTTATTGTTTTGTTGGCTTTGCGCAAATTAGTTGAGGTCAATACATTTCCACTTCCTGTTGTACAAACATAAGGGTCTGCATATTTTGCATTACAGTGGAGCTTTGGTAACATAAAATGTAGTTTCTAGGTGGGTAGTTTTTACATGGTAAGGTAAATATTTACAGATAACTTTAGAAATGTAAGAAATATAAATTATCAAGTTTACAATTTTTGAGTCTTCTGCATCTTCCAATGTAATGTGGCAGTTTAAACTGCAGTGTTTCTTAATTGATTGACTTGATTGACTGTTACACTTGCAAAATACGAGATACTGTAAAATAGACTTCTATGTATTAATGTCTTCACTAAATGAAAATACATAACTACATTTCTTTTTATTTTGTAAATGTATTCACAGCTAGAGATGTCTTTTTAATGCTAAAGAAGCCAAATTATAACAAGTTAGAACTTCAAGTATATGCAACATTTTTTGAGATCTATAGTGGTAAGGTAAGTACCTGATTTTTTTCTGAGGAAGGTGGAATTTCTCTTTCACAAACAAGATTTTGAGTTTGTCACATAAAAGATTTTTTCCTTTTTGTACTAAAAGCTTTATTTCAGATAATTCTTTATACTTCCCTTTCAATCACAGGTTGGAAGGGACCACAGTGGGTCATCTGGTCCAACCTCCCTGCTCAAGCAGGATTGTGCATGGAATGCTTTGCATATTTTGATATGACATTTGAAGCAAAAATGTCTTTTAAAGCTCCTCTTTAACTGTTATTTTTCCCTCCTCCCCAAGGTTTTTGACTTGTTGAACAGGAAGACAAAATTAAGAGTGTTAGAAGATGGTAAACAGCAAGTCCAGGTGGTGGGATTACAGGAACGGGAAGTTAAATGTGTTGAAGATGTTCTTAAGCTTATTGAAATAGGCAACAGCTGCAGGTATCTCCCATAGCTTTCACCAATTTTTCATTGTAAATGAAAGAAATGCTACAAGATTTTTTTTTTGGTCTCTTCATAGTGATGGCTTCTTAATATGCAGTGGCATTTTTTATAATGTTGGCTGCAAGTAAGAAATCTACCTATCTTTTGGATATAGTTTTGAGTTTTTCAGCCAGAGAGAAATATGAACTGATTTTTCTACAGGATGTGAATTGTATGCATTATATAAGCAGTTTACTGACTTAAATTCACATCATTTATAATCTGGAATACTGCCAGATTCTTCAGTTCTAAAAGGCCTTGATATGTAGTGACAAAAGTATAAAAGTTGGGGTTTGTTTAAGATCCAGCTTTATTGTTTTTAAAATTAGCCTTGTGACAGACTGCTGACTGATCAGATAAAAGTACCACATGCAGCGTTTTGCATATAAACTCTCTGATAGTCTGAAATATTTGGAGATCTGTTTATTCTTGCTTTTAAGAGAGTAGTAAAATGCTACTAATCTTCCATTTCTGTTTCAAGAATTGGAAAAATAGGTATAATTATACCGTGTGCATCAAATTATATGGGTAAACACAGGACTATGCCCTGAAAACTAATGTTCTGAGGGCAATGTGTTTAACATATATGGTCCTTTGCCTGTTCATATGTTCTTCTTTTCTTTCCTTTTCTTAAAGGACATCCGGCCAGACATCTGCAAATGCACACTCATCTCGAAGCCATGCAGTGTTTCAGATTATTCTCAGAAGGAAAGGGAAATTGCATGGTAAATTTTCTCTGATTGATTTGGCTGGCAACGAAAGAGGAGCAGATACTTCTAGTGCAGATAGGCAGACTCGACTGGAAGGTGCAGAAATTAACAAGAGCCTTTTAGCACTCAAGGTAACTGAAATGTTTCCATTGCCTTTGAGTATGTGAAAGCCTTCCACATATAATAGCAATGACTATTGAAATTAGTGGTTTTGCAGGCTTTGCTTCTTTGCATTGTCTACTGATGTGACTTGTAAAATATAATCTTGTTTTTCCTTTAAATACCTGAAAAAACACTTGGTAATTACCAAGTAGAAACATTGCAGAAACATTGTGCTATCTATTTTCATGTAGTTAAAAAAAAAATCAAATGAAATCCCCAGTAGTTGAATTTGAACACTTTTTTTTATATATACACTTAAAATGGGGGAAAAGATAACTTACTTTTGTACTCAAGGTCTGAAATACTAACTGGAAATATACTTACTGATCTCAGTTGGGTTTTTTTTTAATTAAGAAAAGATTTTTTTTTAAAAAGATACCTTTTTTAGTGGTCTAACCTTAGCTAGAAACTAAGTACCATGCAGCTGCTCACTCAATCCCCTCACCCCCTTCCCCAGTGGGATGGGAAGGAGTATCTGAAATAAGGGAAAACCCACGGGTTTAGATAAGAACAGCTTAATAATTGAGCTAAAGTAAAAGATAATAACAATCATAATAATTGTATTGAAAAGGAGAGAGAGACACAGAGAGAGAAATAAACCCCAAGAGAAACAAGTGATGCACAATACAGTTCCTCACCACACTGACTGATGCCCAGCCCATTCCCCAGCAGCTATCATCCCGTCCTGACCAACTTCCCCCAGTTTATATACTGGGAATATTATATGGCATGGAATATCCCTTTGGCCAGTTCTGGTCAGCTGTCCTGGCTGTGCTCCCTCACAGCTTCTTGTGCAGCTTCTCCCTGGCAAAGCATGAGACACTGAAAGGCCCTTGACTGAAGGTAAGCACTGCTCAACAACAACCAAAACATCAGTGTGTTATCAGCATTATTCTCACACTGAATCCAAAACACAGTACTACAAGCTACTAAGAAGAAAATGAACTCTATGTTAGCCAAAACCAGGACAGTCTCCACCCCTTATTCCATAACATTTACATCATGCCAGGTCCCACGCTTTTCAATACCCCGTCACCTTTCCTATTTTTTGATAGATATACACACAGATATCATTCCCTTAGTCTATGGATCATCCCTATAAAAGTCTGTTGAGTTCATTTAGTCCATGACCTTGGGCTCCATCTGTCATAGCAGTCCTTCAGGACAGGAAAGATGGTGTGTGGTATTGGATTGTTGCAGTTGAAGCCAGATCAATCTTGGATAGTTATTAACATAATACAATTTAATTCATTGGCTATTCTTACCCAAAATCAAATCCCCTTGAGGCACACACCAGACTTGCCCATCCTTCCACATTACCCACCAAGTACACCCAGGTCCTTGAGCAAAAGCAGTCCCACAGATGGGTTTACCTTTGCCTGAGGCAGGAATTACCCAGACTGTTTTCCCCAGCATATTTTTAATGTGCACAGGAATTCTATCCCATTTTAAAGTACTTAACAGTTTTGATTGGGCAGGGCCAGCCTGATTGGCAGATCCTCTGGTATTGACTAGGCAGATGGCCTTTGCTAAATGTATATCCCAGTGTCTAAAGGTTCCACCACAAATTCTCTTCAGTGTAGTCTTTAACAGTCCATTACACTGTTTGATCTTTACAGAGGCTGGTGCATAATAGGGAATATGATACACCTACTCAGTTCCATGTTATTTGGCACAAGTGTCTATGAGGTTGTTTCGAAAATGGTTTCCATTGTCCGATTCTGTGCATCTGAGGTTATATCACTGACTCAATTCTTTCTGGAGTACCATGTCACCATAAGACTTCCTTTCCAAGGCCCAGGACACCGTTCCAGGCAGTGCCATGGGGCACAGGGTGTGTTTCCACCTTTGTAAGCACACAATGCTTGCTGTTACAGGTTTGGGGGAGTGTGATATAGTCAATCTGCCAGGCTTCCCCATACTTATATTTCAGCCATCGTCCCCCATACCACAGAGGCATTACCTGCCTGGCCCTGCTTAATTGCAGCACATTTCACATTCCAGGATAACCTGTGCAATATTGTCCATGGTTAAGTCCATCCCTCAATCACGAGCCCACCTAGATGTTGCATCTCTTCCTTGATGTCCCAAGGTGTCATGGACCCACCAAGCCAGAAATAATTCACCCTTATCTTGCCAATCCAAATCCACCTGAGCACTTCAATCCTAGCAGCCCGATTCACCTGCTGGTTGTTCTGATGTCATTCAGTGGCCTGACTCTTGGGTTCATGAGCATCCACATGGTGTACCTTCACAACCAGGTTCTCCACCTGGGCAGGTTTATCTCTGTGCTGCCAGTTTATCTGCTTCTATTGCTGCAACCACTCCCACCGGGCATTTGCCACTATCCATGAATCAGTATAAAGAATCGGCCATTTCTCTCATTCAGCAATGTCTAAGGCCAACTGGATGGCTTTCACCTCTTCAAACTGACTCAATTCACCTTCTCCTTCAGAAGTTTTTGTGACTTGTCGTAAGGGACTCCATACAGCTGCTTTCCATCTCCAATACTTTCCCACAAAACAGCAGGACCCATCAGTAAACAAGTCATATTACTTCTCATGTTCTGGCACTTCATTATACAGTGGGGTCTCTTCAGCACATCACCTTCTCCTCTAGTGACATTCTGAAATCTTTGCCTTCTGGCCAGTTCATGATAATTTCCAAGATTCCTGGATGACTGGGGTTTCCTATCAGAGCTCATCATGTGATCAGTGCGACCCACTTACTCCATGTAGCATCTGTTTCATGATGTGCAGAGGAGACCCTGCCTTTGAACATCCAATCCAACATTGGTAACCAGAGTGCCAGGAGGAACTGGGCTTCAGTGCCAATCACTTCAGAAGCAGCTTGAACCCCTTCATAAGCTGCCAGTATGTCCTTTTCATTTGAAGTATAGCAGACTTCTGATCCTCTGTATGCCTGACTCCAAAAACCTAGAGGTCAACCTCGAGTCTCCCCGGGTGCTTTCTGCCAGAGATTCCAGGTAGGACCATTCTCCCCAGGTGTAGTATAGAGCACATTTTTTACATCTTGCTCTATTTGGACTGGCCCAAGGGCTAGAGCATCAACTGTCTCCTGTTTGATTTGTTTAAAAGCTTGTTGTTGCTCAGGTCCTCATTTGAAATAATTTTTCTTCCGGGTCACTTCATACCAAGTGCTGACAATCAGACTGTAATTTTGAATGTGCGTTCCCCAGAATCCCACAACACCTAAGAAAGTTTGTTTCTTTCTTACTAGTTGGTGGAGACATTGCTACTGACAACATTCATCTTGCCATTTTATTCCTAAAACCTGGATCTCCTGTGCAGGTCCATTGACCTTACTTTGTTTTATAGTAAAACCGTCCTTCAGAAGGATTTGAACTATTTTCTTCCCTCTCAGAAACTTCTTCTGCTATATTGCCCCACACAATGATATCATCAATATATTGCAGGAGTTCTGGAGCTTTGCCTTGTTCCAGTACAGTCTGGATCAGTCCATGGCAGATGGTTAGGCTGTGTTTCCACCAGTTGATTCCAGGTGTACTGGATGCCCCTCCAAGTCAAAGCAAACTGTGGCCTGTACTCTGTCACCAGAGGGATTGAGAAAAACACATTAACATTATCAATTGTAGCAGTGCTGGGCTGCCTTTGACTCCAGTTCCTATTGAAGTTCCAACATGTTCAGTATGGCAGCACTCAGTGATGGTGTGACTTCAATCAGTCCACGACAATCTACTGTTAATCACCATTCTCTGTTAGACTTTCACACTGGCCATATGGGACTATTAAATGGTGAGTGGGTCCTGCAGATCACTCCTTGGCTCTCCAGTTGACAAATCAGTTTATGGATAGAAATTAGGGAGTCTTGGTTGGTGCAATATTGCTGGTGGTGCACCATTATGGTAACAATTGACAACTGCTGTTCTTCAACCTTCAGCAACCCCACAACAGAAGGGTCCTCCAAGAGACCAGGCAAGGTAGACAACTGTTTAACTTCCTCCATCTTCAAGACAGCTATATCAAAAACCCACCCTTGAAATACCCTCTCCTGAGATAGTCTGTGCCAAGGATGCACAGAGCCTCTGGGCCAGTCTCAATGGGATGCTTTTACCACTCATTCCCAGTCAGGCTAAGATCAGCCTCCAGTACAGTCAGCTGTTGGAATCCTCCTGTCACTCCAGAAATACAGATGGATTCTGCCCCTGCATAGCCTGATGGCATTGGAGTACACTGTGCACCAGTGTCTATGAAAGCCTTGTACTCCTGTGGGGCTGCTGTGCCAGACCACTGGATTCACACTCTCCAGTAAACCTGGATATCCCTTTCTTCCACCTGGCTGGAGGCAGGGCCCTTCTAGTCCTGGTCATAGGATTCTCCATTTACTTGTAGAAATGGATTAGAATTCCATTCCATAGAATCAGAAGTAAAATCAGCCCTTCCACTCTGCGTGGGAAACTGCCACTGAAGACTGAGACAGTAACTTTCCTGGAAGAACCCTCATTTCTGATTGTTTTTCCCTGCAATTCATATACCTGTGCCTCTAGGGTCAAGGTAGGTTTTCCATCCCACTTCCTCATGTTCTTTCCTTGGTCCTGCAAGTAAAACCATAGGGTACCCTGTGGTGTGTATTTTCTATATCCTCCCTTTTGAGAAAAAGAACTCTTACTGTTAATAGATGAGATGTAGGTCCACACAGGTGGGGAGTAGGACCTCTTTTTCTTGATGAAACTCCTAGAAGAACTTTTTATACCTCTGGGAGATTTTTTCCACAGCCACAAGGGAGTAGCTGCAGTGCCTGTCACTGGGGTTGGAGTAGCCGTTGGGCCTGTGGTTTTGTTGTCAGATCCAGAGACTTTCTTTTCTCCCTGAGGGTGCTGAGCAGTGTTGAACAGGGCTTGCTAGACCTGGGCCAGGTTCCAGCATGTTGCAGTGATTTGTATCTCTCTGGAATTACTAAGGTGACAGCATACTTTTTCCAAATCTTT